ATTAGATAGGTTGTTCCGCCCTCTCCGAGCATCGGGGACGATGCTTATCTTTAAGCTTGGGGAGGGGTAGAGTTGTACACTAGGTTCATTCATGCATTTTCAAAAAAAAAAAGTTTTTATTTCAAGTTTTTGCATTTTACCATTTTTTGCATTTCATATTCATGCATGCATTTTCAAAAAAAAAAAATGTACGAGATGATGACACTCTTTACATATAATAGCTCCATGAAGTGGGAAAACGAGAAATCAAATGAAAAAAAAAACAAAATACCCGAGGCGACCGGATTGTTACCGGAAGTGTAGAATCAGTTGTCATAACTAGGGGACCCAAACACCGTAATTCGAGACCCTAGCCTTAGATAATAAAAAGAAATTATATTGAAACGTTTTTTGGGCGGTAATAACAGCTTTAGGATGATTTGCTTATGAATGTTTAAAAAGAATCTTTATCGGCAACTCTGGACCCACAGAACACGGGTCTATTTGTTGACACGCGTCACCCTTGCGGTGACAGAGAGCTTAAGTATCAGATCCACACAGTCAAGAAAGAAAGAAGGGTACAACTGTCTTATCTAGTACCCAAATCAGAATTTCAAGTGCCAAAACGAAGAAATCTCAAGAAATTCCAAAAATAAAGATTGAAGAATCCAAATTCAAAACGAAGTACAAATCAAAGTTCAATCAAATCAAAAGCAAATTCAAAGTCAAATCTGGCGAATGAAGAACTGTGTGATATGATACTTGTGGCTCTCGAAAAAAGTGAAAGCATAGGAGCTGGGCCCCTTCGGGTGGGCTCATTGTTTCAGCGAAAGCTGATTCGCCGTGACGGGTTCTTAAGGATGCGTCGATTCTGATTCTTGGCCATCTAGTCTGAAGGACATGAGATCCGGACTATGTTATTTTCGCCCATAAAGCTTAGTAAGGTATAAAGTTTTAATAAAACTAGGGTTGGATTATTGGATTACACCGTTTCGGGTCTTCCTCACCTTGGGAGTCTGTGATATGTGGAAGGAAGCAGGATGGTCACCTAGGTATTAATGATTGGAGCCCCATTGATGTAAGGTTTGATCGTATATGTCCATATTTATAAAAATAAATAAAAAGATTACTTGTGTTCTTAAATCTTTCATTGGTTCAATTTTTGTTCCTTAAGTATCTTTTGTACATATGTTTCATTTTCATGGTTTTCATCGCATGCATTCATTCTTAGCTTTTAGGATCTTTCTGTCCACATTTTTTCTATGTTTCTTTTTGCCATCTAGAAATCGTCCTGTTTGTCCGGTTCTTGTTCTTTCTTGAGGACAAGAAAGGTCTAAGCTTGGGGAGATTTGTTAGGTGCTATTTGTGCACCTTTTTGCACACCTCTTAGTCCCATTTCATGCATCTATTTAACACAATTGTTCTTCCTTTTTCTTGCATTTCATCATATTCATGTTAGTCTCTAGAACAACCTTATTTGCACATTTTCATGTCTTTTTCAGGTAAACCGGAGGTTGGAACGCGCTTTAGGAAGTGTCAGGAAGCATTGGTGAAGATTTCGGGATGATCGGGCGAAGAACGAAAAAGTTGGAAAAATCAAGTTTGGATTCGGAGTCAGAGGGGTACACGGGTCAGGTTGGATTTAAAATTAAAAATCAACACGGGCCATGTTGACCAAAATGGGTGTTGTTGACCATGCTGAACACGGGCCGTGTCAGTTTTACTCTATGTCCAACACGGGCCGTGTTCGACCCAGAAACAAACTTTTGGCAGTTTTTCCTATCTTTCATATTACGGGTTAAGGGCCATTTTTACACACACACACACACAACATATCAGAGCACATTTTGAGAAGGATTTTCGAAGGTTTTTGCAAGGGTTTGATTAGCAATCATTTGGAAACATTATTTCTAGTATTTGTAAGTTGTAATTGCATACATTTTCATCTTTTAAACTTGTGATCTAGTTCTAGCCATGTGTGGCTAGAACCCTAGTTTCTCCAACTTCATGTCTTGACTTCTTAGTTGTGATTTCAATCATATGACTTGATGTTTGTTTTTAATTTCTATCTAGTGAATTTGATTTTGCTTCAATCGAATGTTTGATTCTAATTGTGATTCTTATTGGCCATTTGAATTAGGGTTAGGTCATTCAAGTTATCTCTTTTACAAAATCCGTAATTGTTTTGTGAAATTGAACAAGTAACAAGCACTAAACTGATTTCCATTGAATGAATTTAGTGTAAATCTTATTCACACACTCTTATGCTCCCGAGCTTGTGAGGAGTATTGGGTGTTGTTGGGAACATTCACATAGAGTTTAATGCAATCTTTCAATCTAATTCTAAGAGCGTGTTTAGATTAGGTTAGTAATGTTAGGGTTAATCAAAGAGCTTGTTTTGGTTAATTAATGTGGTGAATGGGAAGTGTTAGAGCTTGTTAACACTTTCAAGTACCAACTTATATAGAATTGAGCAAATATCATGTTATCTTGGAATCACATTGCTAAGTTGTCATACATGAGGTTGGAGTCCTTACCATTTCTGAATTTAATTCACTCTTTTAGTTGATTACTTGTGTTTTTAAGTGTTTGTTTTAATTATTTCATTCTAAACCCCCCTCTTTACTGTTGGTGACCACAGTACCTTGCGCAAAGAGGTATAGACTAATTATCCCGTGTCTCTGTGGATCGACCCTGCTTGCCTTGTACTATTTTTCTAGTGCAATAGAGTAGTGTACTTGGAGTCATTTGTACCACTTTATTTGTTGGGTTTGACACGCCTAACATATGCCTCCTAGATTAAAAGAAAATATGAATATTGATATGAAAAACGTCTTAAGAAACAAGATTAAAATTTATAATTTTTTTTTTAAATTTGAGATCTTTCAAATTTTAGGGCCTATTTATTGTTAAATCGCACAGGGTCTCTAAAATCTCGGGGCCGACCCTGTATAGTTGCCACAACATTGATAAAAACTAGATGATAAGATAACTAGAAAATATAAAAAAAAACATAAAACAAACATGTACATGAATAATTCGGTATTATATGATGAATATGTAATAGTGTTTTATTAAATTAAATATAACAATTCTTATTTTATTTATTATGTTAACTAGATGTAAGACCCGTGTATTACACGGGTTGATTAAAAAAAGTTATATATGAAGATATAAAATTTGAAAATGACAATGAACTTTGAAATAAGCATTATAATTTTGAATTATGTTATACCGAAGGAAACATATTAAAATTTGAAAATATAAGGAAACAAATTAATGACACATTAATTACTTTATATAACCTGTAAAATATACAGAGTAATAGTTAATTAAGAAAATCAAAAATTACCACAAAAATACAAGTGAAATTAATTTCTAAGAATTAACCATAAAATTACATGTGTCAAAACGCATGAGAAAGTGAGAAGTGACAAAAATGTTTTTTATTTATTATTTAGTAGATATGGCTAAAATTTGATAACTATATGTTTTTGAAAATGTTTATGTCATTGACATTAAGTATAACATAATAATTTTTATACTATATTGATATGTAAAACTGTAACTATTTAATTTGAACGATATGATAAAATAACCATCTATTAGTATCAAATCACTTATAAATATTTATATTTTAAATAATAAGTCAAAATTTAAAAATAATCAATTGATTTTTAAATCATTTAATTATAACTTTAATTTAACAAAAGTAAAAACTAACACTAAATCAATACGATTCACTCGAATAATAATTATCTAATCTACAAATAACTATGACACTTAGACCATTCGAAGTACCCTTAACGGAGGGCTCCGTTTGTACACGTTGGCACGAACCACGCCCACGAACACAACCGTGGGTGTCCTTTGTGGTCCGTGTTCGTGGTGAAATGTGGTAGCTACACCGATCAACAACGGCCAATCTTTTCTTTATTCTTTTCCTTCTTTTTTCTGCAAAACCTTTCGTGGTTAGTGATATGTACACCAAAGCTGGTGTGAAAGAATGTTGAAGAAGAAGATGTTGAGATGGATTCGTGGTCAGTGAAGAAATTTCTGATGGCCTTATGATTCTAAATATGAATAATGATTTCATATATCAAGTATATATGCTATAATGATTTGGTAAAAGATCCACCGATAACGATTTGATCAACAATTGCTTCAAATATAGGGCAGAATCAATAATAATATTTTAATTTTGATATTTCGATTATGTGTTTTTATCACATATAATGATTCAATATACTCATTTTGATTCATTGCAATAAATACAAATGATAGAGATATATTTAAACAAATGATTTAAAATTTACATAAACAAAATCACACATCCAAGTAAATATGTGATTAACCGATTAAAATACCTTTTTGTTTATAAGAATACGAACGAAGCATATCAATAAAGGAGTTCAAATAATCGTTGTATCAATCAATTCTATATTTTGATCGATTTCTATTACATGGCATGATACAGAAGATCATACATGTATTGAATTTATGAACAACATATTTCACATTTTTTTAATGGAAATTATTGTATTTGTTTTAATATTAAAGGAAATGTATGTCTGTTACTCCATGGTACATTTACAAAATTACTCATCTGTTTAGTTAAACCCTTATAAAAATATTGTGAGTTGACTTAGTAATCATATCTATGTCTCTCACTCTTATAAAGATCTTGAGAGTTAACTTATTAAAATCATGGATTCATGTTCTTAGTTTACAATCACTCAAGGGAATTATCAATAGTAACAGTGATTTTAAACATGGATTTTTTAAATAATAAAATATGTAAAAAAAATTAAAAAACTTTTGTTTTACATGTGATCTTTCCTAAAATCACATTCAACTATGCAACCTCTAAATTTTTTTCTTATTTATAAATTATAAATTGCAGAATTATATTTAAGAAGAACATCTTCGGACATAAGCCTATGGGTTATAAAAAGGTCCAAATTGATGTTTTATCCAAAATGGGCCCAAAATCATGAACATAATCAAGCCCTCTTGTAATGAAAATCTTCCCGCCCAAATAGTTCTATTGCCGACGTATCGTAGCCATTTATAAGTCGATTTCCTTACCCCAGTATCCCCCAATCGCAAACGAATCAAACCCTAACCCTAGATTTTTTGCTAACTAGGTATGTTTTCTTCCTCTTTTTCCTCGATGTCGACTCTAATTTTTGTCATTTACAACCATTTTCGCTTCGATTTTTGACCTAGTTTGTTGTTTCTGTTGTTTCATTCAGGATCAAACGATGAAAGGAGGCAAATCAAGCGGTGCTACCAGGAAAGCCGATACCAAGTACGATTTAATCTAACTATGTTTAACACATACCATCTGCTAGGGTTTAATGTTGTATGTTTTTCATCTTCAATGAAATTAGGTTTTTGTTCTTCCCCAGGATCATGATTTCGGTACTTTTTAACAATTGTTTGTTGTAATTTTAGGTTGGCTATAAAGAAAACTGCAGCCAAGGGGAAAGCTGCTAAGGATCCTAATAAACCCAAGAGGCCTGCTAGCGCCTTCTTTGTCTTCATGTTAGTAGCTATTCTTCGTTTATCTCTACCTTCAAGTTTTACTTCCATTTCCAAAGTTTAAATAGTTTTCCTTTTGTTAATGTTATGAAGGGAGGACTTTAGAAAGCAGTTCAAAGAAGATCACCCTGACAACAAATCTGTTGCTGCTGTAAGTGATCTTCTATGTGTCCTTTTATCATCGAAACTTCTTTAGCTTTGTTTCAAGTATTCTGTATCCAGATTGAGTTGAGTTTGTGTTTTTAGATTTTGATTTGAATTTCACTTGTGTATAATCAGGTTGGTAAAGCTGGTGGGGCAAAATGGAAGTCAATGTCCGACTCTGTAAGTCGCACTTACATTCCATTACTATGTTTAGTTTTTGAGGCAAAATCATAATGCTCATCAACTTATTAAGAACTTATAAAAAATCGATGTAGTATTTAGTTATTTACCTCTGTTTTTTGGATGATGTGAATGTAGGAAAAGGCACCTTTTCAAGCCAAAGCTGACAAAAGAAAGAAGGAATATGAGAAGAACTTGGACACCTACAACAAAAAACTTGTAAAATCTTTGTTAAAACTTAGAAGTCATATGCTTATCATTATAATATTGTAGTTTTGATTCATTGACTTTGAATTTGCTGCCATGTAAATAGGCTGGAGGTGGTAATGATGATGATGATGATGAGGATTCTGACAAATCTAAGTCTGAAGTCAATGATGAAGCAGATGAGGACGAAAGTGATGATGTATGTTTTTTAATAAAACATAATGATATTGATACTTATTTTTTCAGTATATGATTAATCCTTTTTAACAAATGAAACTAAATATGGTTTTAATTTGTGTTTTGTAGGAGGAAGATGATGACTGAATCAAGAAAGTGGAAGTTGATTCGGTGTTGATGGTTTGATAAGTTACCTGCTTTGTAGTTTCATGTTACTGATTAGAATAGATTTGGCTTTTATGGTGCACAGGAAAAAGGAAATGTAACTTTGGTTGGCTCTAATGTTAGCTTTTGTATCTTCCAAATTTACCCTTTTGGGATGGTTTTTTGTTTAGAACAAAATCCTTTGCTAATGCATCTTTATCTTTTTCGGATATGAATTTGGGTTTTGATTTACTTTATGTTTTCTTGCATTTAGATTATTTTGTGATGCAATTGTTGCCATAAAACTTTCATGTGAATACTTGATTTTTATTTCATGTAGCTTTGGAAGATGTTACATTTTGAATACTGTTATGTTATATGTTAAGCCAATAACTGCTATTAGCTTCAAGTAAAGAAAAAGTAGACAAATTCTATACTCTATTCAGTTTCAGTAAAAGAAAAGATGATACATCAGAATAGGATTATTAGCAGTAAAACACTTAGGGGGCGTTTGTTTTTTCTCTGCAGATCTGTGGGAGGTCTTCCGTCTGTGCGGCGCAGACCACGCGCAGACTTATAGGTTTGAAGTGCGTTTGTTTTTTTGAAGTGCGCAGACATAAAAACGTCTGCGCGAGGTCTACACCACACAGATATGGGCCAACCTCTTCTAAAGTTTGCCAAGTGCCTTTGACCTAAAAAAAAACACGCGTTTTTTTTTGTTTCTGCCTCCATTCCCATCTTCGTACACAGATAGCTCGACGACTCCATCTTCACTCCAGCAACCTTCGTCGACCGACCATCACCTCTGCTCTGTCGCCGCACCGCCCGTCGCCACCCTCCTCTCCGGTCGCATCTCCGGTCGCAGGCGTCACTTCTCGATTGCAGCGAACAGCAAGTGTAACTTCTCGATTGCAGCGAACAGGTGTGTCGTCGCCTCCTCTCTCTTTCAATTCAATTTCGGTTCAACTTCTTGTTTGATTTGCATCATTGTTTCCCCGAAAATATTAATTTTGTTGGGTGTTCCTTCATATTCAAATCTTGGAGGTGTATAATTTATCATATATTCTTGCTAAAATTGAACTGAAATTTATCATATACTACCTGTAAACAATTCCCAGCAAGCTGTCATTGTTAAATCTTACCTGCAAGCTGTCTTCTTATTTTTTCACACCTGTGATCTATAATTTTCTTTGATTGGAAGCCAATATACAGAACTGCCAAGCAAAAGATAACATATTCTTTTGTTGATTGTGAATGTGTATATGATTGTTGATTGTTTATATGTATATGATCGTTGATTGTGTATGTATATATGATAGTGTATATGTATATGATTGTTGATTTGTGGATGATATAATTTGCCTAGAATGTGTTGAAATCAAGTTTTTTCTTGAAATAATGCTGTGAAATAATGATGTTAGTTGTTGAAATCAAGTTTTTTCTTGATGAAAATTCTTATTTGTTGAAATTGTTGTTTGATTGTTTTTTTTTTTTTTTTTTTTTTTTTTTTTTTTTGCAAAAATTGCTGTTAGATTGTGCTGAATATGCTAAAAATACTTATTATTGTTTTAAATTGTTGTTGAATGTGCTAAAAATTGTTGTTGAAAATCGTTAGTTGTTGACTGTTTATGGTGAATGCTATATTGGTTATTAGAAATGGGAGATAAACATCAATGGACCAATGAGCAATTAAAATGCTTAGTGGATACTTGTATTGAAGAAGTAGAGAGTGTTGGTAGAAAATGATTGAGTTTGTAGAAAGATTCATGGATAAGGCTTGGAAGAGTTCTTAAGGAAAAATTTGGCGTTGAGTTGAGTCAATCTGAAAGCCAAATACACAGGATGGGTATATTTAAAAAACAAAACTGGTAATATATACAATTCTCAAACAAACACTTTTAACTTAACAGTCGAGGAGTGGGATGATTTTAAGAAGGTACAATCTCAAACAAACACTTTTAAACATTTACGTTTGAAGTTGCCAAATATTCTTACACTATTTTTTGTTATATTTGGGTTTAGGGGCATCCGAAGGCTGCTTCGTTGAAAACAATGCCACTGCCTTTTCCAGATCTTTGTGCTCGTCTTTTTGATGGAAATAGTGCCACTGGTAATTTTAGGAGTTACTCAACCCAATCATCTTCAGTAGCTGGAGCATCCTCTTGTCGTCTTCCACCACTTCAGATTACCGCCACCCCTTTTCTTGCATTAGATGATGATGGTGATGACACTTCTCATCATGCTAGTGAGACTTTTCATGAGCCACCACCTTCTGCTGCTTCACCATCCGGTTACCCCAACAAAACGGCTAAACCCTCAACTCCTAAAGCTCCTAGTATCTCACCGTCTGCTTCTTCACCTGATGGAACTTCTATTACTGCTGACGATTTAGCATTTGAAATGAAAAAAGCTCTACAAAGTTTGACTAAAGGGTATACAATTCCTCAATGTTTAGAGAAATTAGAGGTGCTTCAGTTAGGCCCTACAGATCCTTTACGCTTTGTTGCATATCATATTTTTGGAGGGACTATGAACATGAGAGAGATGTGGATGCATTTGCCCGATGTTCCCGAGATATTACGAGGATGGCTTGAGATGACGGGTACAAGTTTAGGAGTTTTGAAGGACGGAAAGATTGTCCGATGATTTTTATTGTGTTGAAACTATTTATTAGGTCCTTTTGCTTCTATTTGAACTATTTTGTTAGGTCTTTTTGCCTTTGTTGAAACTATTTTTTGTTATTTTGCTACTTGGAATATGTTTTATCTAATGTGTTTTTGCTACATGTAATATGTTTTATCTAATGTGTTTTTGCTACTTGAAATATGATTTATGTAATGTTTTTTTTTGCTACTTGAAATATGATTAATGTAATGTTTTTTAAAGTTCCACTTTGTTGATTTTAGGTTCATAATGGATCACGATCAAAAGTTACTTCTCGTAATTCTTATGTACCTGTACATCCGTTATTTTTGGAAGAGGGGTGTGAAACGATTGCGGGATAATGATTCGGAAATGACGGGACATGAATATACATTGGAGTTATTACATCGTAATTGTTTACAATGTGTTGAAGTGTTACGCATGTCCCGCGACTCATTTGTACGACTATGTGCTCATTTTAGAGCACATTACTCATTAAAGGACAACAAACATGTATCGGTTGAGGAAAAGATGGCTATGTTTTTGATGATGATCGGCCATAATCAACGTTACGTGATTATCAAGCGGAGATTTCAACACTCGAAGCAAACAATTCATAAATTTTTTTATGAAGTGTTGGAAAAAATGATGCTTTTCGCACAAGATGTTATAGTATCAACTTCTTTTAATCCGAATCCAAACATTCCAGGACATAATAGGAGGCTACGACGGGTTTTCAAAGGAGCGGTTGGTGCACTTGATGGCACTTTGATACATGCTGTTGTCCCTGCTAAGAAACAAGACTTATATAGAAGTAGGGGAAAGGGAGATTGCTACCAAAATGTATTGGCAATTTGTGACTTCAATATGATTTTTACATTTGTTGTGGCCGGGTGGGAAGGGGTAGCGCATGACTCTAGAATTTTATCAGAAGCAGTAGCCGATCCACAAGCTTCATTCCCGTTTCCACCACCAGGTAATTTTTTGTTTTTTTATAAATTTTTTTATCTTAGTTTCAAAATTGATTAGTGTTTTGCATTTTTTACAGACAAATATTATCTTTGTGATGCCGCGTATGCACACACTCGAGGATTTATGGCCCTTTATCGTAATGTGAGGTATTGGCTTGGAGATTTTCGTAAAAGACGTGCATTGACCAATAAAGAAAAATTTAACCATGGACATGCAAAAACTTCGGAATGTCATTGAGCGTACTTTTGGTGTTTTGAAAGCACGTTTCCCTATATTGAAGAGGATGACACCATTCCCGTTTGTGACATAAAGAAACATTGCCATGACATGTTTCGCGCTTCATAATTTTATAAGGAGAGAAGGATTGAGTGATGAGTATTTCGCACGATACGATGAACCCAATGTCTCGTTTCGAAATAACAATGTGACCTTTAATGATGATGAAGATGAGATTCCAACAAATGGTACTGCAGCAGACCGTGAATATATGACACGGTTACGAGATGAAATTGCTGATCAGTTGATGCACAATATAGATTGAATTGTTTTAAATGAAATTGTTATTGCAAAACCAAATTTTTACAATTGTGTGACTAATTTTATTGCATGAATTTTATTTCCAATGTTATATGACTATTTTTATTAAAATTTTGGTGTTGAGAAATCTTTTTAAGTTTGTAAAATCATTTTATTTAAAATTCAGTTTATTTCAGCAGCCTGCAGACGTTTGGTCCACCTCTTCTGTTGCAGAGGCTTGCAGATGTGGTCCGCAGACTGCAGACGTTTTGGCTTCAGAAAAACAAACAACACCTTAGTAAAACACCACACGTAAGTTCCCAAACACTGATGATTGCTGATGATCGACAGTTAAGGGAGGTGTATTGAACCTTCAATAATTCTCGCTAGAAATTACTAAGAAAGTATGAAACCAATCTTTTTTTATTCATGTCTATGGTAGGTACACACAAACTATATAAATAAAAAGAGTAAATTACACGAATGGTTCCTATGGTTTAGGGTAATTTGTGCGTTTGGTTTTTAACTTATTTTTTTAACTCGGAAGGTCCCTACTATTTATTATTATTACACGTTTGGTCATTGTCTTACCTAAAAACCATTCGTGTGGTTTACTCATAAAAAAGAAAGAAAAACGTCAAAATCAAAAATTGACATCTGATTGATGAAATAAATCTAACAATGTATCAATGACAGATCAACAATAACGCAAGTACACTAATAATAATAAATAAACTATTTAATTTAAACATTAGGCTAAGAGGAGTGGGAGTGTTAAGAACCTTCGCTAAACTCCCTAAGGCCAAATTTACACCACCCCTATCACTCGCTAGGGGGGTTGTAAGATGAGTTCGTCAAACATTTAACGAGAGGAGAGAGATAGAGAGTCCTTGTTTGTGATTGGTGGAAAGAGGAGAGAGAGAGAGAGTGCTTCTTTGCCATTGGTGGAAAATCATTTCAATGAATTTACAGTTCAAACAAAATTCAACCCCCCCTCTTTTTATTAAATCCGATTTTTAGCTTGCTTTAATTAAAATTTCAACTTTTTACCATTCCTTCTATATTAATAAATCTGATTTTTACCCTAATTTAACTTTTCCGTTTATTTAAATATTAAGTATTTGTCTAGTATTAATATGTTTTTTTTTTGTTTTTAAAAATATAATTTATATTTATATTAATTGTTTTTGGTTTTAAAAAATAATATGTTTAATATATGTGTACAAAAAAATATTTGTATATTAAAATAAAGTAATTTAATAAAATTAGAAAAAGAAAATCAAAACAAAAAAATGGAATGCTAAGAGTGTTACCACTCACTATCAAATGCTAAGATTAGGTGTTAAATTGTAAAAAATGAGGTGACATTTAAAAATATTACGAGAAAAGGTGTTAGGAGTGTTACCACCCCTTTAGCCTTAGAATGAAAGTTAACTAGGTTGAAATGTTAAAAACCAAAGTCCCTATGACTTTCCAAGATTCTTTCAAATAATATTTGCAGTGGACTTTCAATAGGTGATATGGTGGTTATTAGTTTATCACATGATTTAATATCATTAATAGACAGTTTTAAGTGAGTGTTAGGATAAAATAAAATAAAATATTTATTTAACAATTTTTGATAAATTGTTTCTTTTAATTCATTTAAAATTGCTTATTACATGCAGTGTCAGTCTAAATATATAAAGTCCTTCAAAAGTCATAAATATAATAAAAATTAAATTGAAAATAACATATCGTTATAAAGTTCTTTATTAATATAAAAAACATAAATATGTCAAAACATTATAAAAACAACTAATTTAAAGAAAAATAATTTTCTTAATATCTTTAGATAAGTTAGTTTTTTCTTTATATAATGATACAAGCGACCGCTTGGGTTGCCCACTATCCGGGCCGGACTTGATTATATATGAAAATTAATTAATCTTTTTGATCCATCTATTAACCCTAAAAAATCCTATATATCGCATCACCTATGCTATTATTCTACATTGTATTTTAAAACCTTATAAATGTAAATTCATTAAAACTAGTGTGTGACCCCGTAGTAAACTACGGGTCACATTTTTTTTGTAGGTATTTTTTTCGATGTGTTTATATTGTTGTCTAATTTGTTGCGGTCTGTATTATTGTAGGTGATGCAGTCACTGTGATTGTAGGTATATTTTTGTTTGTTTTTATCTATAACTTTTATCATTTTTCATAAGCGGTGGGGATCATTTATCTTAATATTGTGATTTTTTAAATTTGTTTCTATAAATTTGTTTATGAATTTTATGCACCGTTGTATTATTTTAATGGTTATTGTTTTTGTGTGGTGGTAGATGTTAGTGGTATAGTTTACTGTTGATTTTATTTTGTATCTACTGTATTTGTTTTTAACGGTGAATGTAGTATAATTTTTGGGGATTGGAAAGGTAAAACTGGAAACGAAGAAATAAAAAGGAGCAACCATAAACGGAAAAGAACATGTGAAAATAGTAGAAAAAGGAAATAAATACATACGTATGCACAAACATGGTGACCAATATCGTAACTTGAGAAATATGGTGGCCAATATTCACAAATGCACAAACATGGTGGGCAAAAGTGCAAATACACACAAACATGGTGACCAATATCGGAACTTGAGAAATATGGTGGCCAATATCTTAAAAGACAAAGTATACTGTTTATAATTGTGTTACGATATAATATAATATATTAATATATAAATATCTTTGAGAAGTTTGTTTTAATACCATACTAGATTATAACCTGTGAAAACCACGGTCTGTATATTTAAAAATTCTAAATAGATAAAAAAAATATAAAAAAACCAAGATATTGTCGATTGTAAGTAATTATGAATTAATTTGTTAAGCAAAACATACATAATAATGTTATTAGGATATGATTTTGCATTTTCAAAATTTGAATTGAATTTGATTTGAATTTGATTTGTTACAAAAAAAAGGAAATAATAAAAATCATAAAAAAATGACACGTGTCAAAGAGACATTCTAAAAAATTGACACGTGTCATTTTTAGGTTCATTTATTAGAAGAATATTAATATATTAATATCTTTGAGAAGTTTGTTTTAATACCATAATAGGTTATAACCCGTGAAAACCACGGTCTGTATATTTAAAAATTTTAAATAGATAAAAAAAATATATAAAAAAACCAAGATATTGTCGATTGTAAGTAATTATGAATTAATCTGTTAAGTAAAATATACATAATAATGTTATTAGGATATGATTTTGTATTTTCAAAATTTGAATTGAATTTGATTTGTTACAAAAAAAAGGAAATAATAAAAATCATAAAAAAATAACACGTGTCAAAGAGACATTCTAAAAAACTGACACGTGTCATTTTTAGGTTTCATTTATTAGAAGAAAGGTACAGGTAGATAAACTAATAAATTTTTTATCTAAAAATAAAATAAAGACAAAACTTCAAAAATGGTCCCTGTGGTTTTCGAAAATCTGAAGTTTAGTCCCTAATTTATAAAAACCTCACAGATGGTCCCTGTGGTTTCAAAACTTTTAACAAATGGTCATTTTAGCTAACTCCGTTAGCTTTTGGCCGTTAAGTGAAGAGCATTTCTGTCATTTCACTACCACAGGGACCATTTATGAAGTTTTGCCTTAATTTAAAAAAAAAACGAAAAATAAATATAATTATCTAATATTAAAGGGCCCCCCTCACTCACTCACTCACTCACTCACTCACTCACTCTCTCTCTCTCTCTCTCTCTCTCTCTCTTGAAAAGAAGCTAAACCATCTGGACCACCATTTCTTTACTCTAAGAAGAAAGCTTATGTATAAGAAGAAAAAGAGAAGATCGGTATCAAAGAAGATCCATATCTTGTTATTCACCTGACTTTCACCTTGAACCATCTCTCATAACCATACGTGCAATCGATCTCACCGCCGGAGCCATCTCCCTAAATTTAGACCTCACCTCAATATCATCGGAGCCAGCTTCATCGATTTCATTTATGAACTCCTCTTCTACCTCTTTATGAGCTGTGGTAAACACTAAGCTTTGGCCAACATATGAACACCGACGATCGCCTCCTCCTTTCAGATACCTCTTCTTGTCAGCTACCTCAACAGTGCCATCAAAATCAAACGCTTGGTTCCTATTGAAATCAATGGAGAAAGATCCCAACCTGGTAAATTAAGCCTTAGAGTTTGTTGTTGGTTCTTGATGAATTTGATGGAGGTAGAACCGATTTCATGAGTTATAGATGGGTGAGCTTGTATTAACGAAGATCGCAGATGCAGAGCTTTTAGAGGAAGGCGACAATGGAGATGATGCTTCCGATTTAGGTCAAATATTATAGGCAGAGCATGAATCTAGGTTATAATTTTAGATTTTGATTTAGGCTTACCAATTTAGGTCAAATTATGGTGATTTTGCTCCAATTTTGGTGGTATCGGAGAAATAGAGAACGTGAGGGTGATGGGTGAGGGAGGCTATTTTAATTTTTCTAATAGGAGCAACTTATCGGAATTTCCAGCGAGTTTCGACGTGACCAGAAGGAGAAAGAGTGCAGATCTGTGAGAGATAGAGCAACAATGGCGGTGGTTGGTGGTCTGGAAATTGTAGTGGCGATGGTGGTGCTTCACCACCGGTAGGTAGGGGTGGCAAATCGTGCTATCATTTCGTGTTTCTGTCTGACACGACACGACACGACAATGTTTTTTGTAACACGAACACGACATGACACGATGTCGTGTTTTTTTTAACTAACACAAAAACGAACGAATTAAAAAACGACAAACACGACACGACACGACAAATATAACATATACAAAAAACTAGTATATTTAATGAATACTTTATCAAATATAACACGATAAACATGACAAACACAAAAAACACGATAAAGAACTGCTAAATCGTGTCAATTTCGTGTCGAATTTTGAACACGAACACGACACGACACGACATCGTGTTTTTTACAGCTAACACGAACACGAATTCAAATTTTAGTTTTGTCCCAATTTCGTTTCGTGTCGTGTATTTTTGTCGTGTCGTGTCATAAATTGCCACCTCTACCGGTAGGTGAGGGTCTGATCGGAAGGAGAAAGAGTGCAGATCTGGGTTTTTCTTCCCTTTGATTCTTCATCCAGAGAGAGAGAGAGAGAGAGAGAGAGAGAGAGAGAGAGAGAGAGAGAGAGAGAGAGAGAGAGAGAGAGAGAGAGAGAGAGAGAGAGAGACCCTTTAATATTAAATATATTTTTTTTAAAAAATAAGACAAAAGTTCATAAATAGTACCTTTGGTAGTGAAATGACAAAAATACCCTTCACTTAACGGCCAAATTCTACCGGAGTTAACGAAAAGAACCATTTGTTAAAAGTTTTGAAACCACAGGGACCATCTGTGAGGTTTTTATAAATTAGGGACTTATCTTCAGATTTTCGAAAACCACATGGACCATTTTTGAAGTTTTGTCTAAAATAAATAAACAGTCCCAAACACCCATTGATCTTTAGCTTAATAACGGATTATGTAACCGCATCGACTCTCCCATTCTCCCCCTCCGGCAACGATTCCACTCCTTCCACCAAACTCCAGGCATTCGCCCTCACTCTCATCGTCGTCCTCTCCGACTCCGGAATGGTTGGCCACCAAGACTTCGCTTTCGTACTCTTTTCCTTGTTCATGTTCCTCATCACCATTTACCCCACTTCCGCACTACTCCTTTCCTCCAACCACAAACCGCATCCTGACCCAGACCCACTACGTATCCAACAACCCGGATACAATGCTGAATTTTTGGTTGACTATGTTCTACGACGACTATTCTGATTGACTTTTGGGTTTCTTTTATCTTTTAGTTCAAGCACTTGGGAACCTTCCTTCTCATTTCTTTCTTTTTGATCACATCGGCACTTTCTTACTCTTTTCTTTCAATTTGACAGAGAAATTCAGGGAGAAAGCCCTAATTCCATCCTTTACTAGTAAAACTAAGCAATCCCCTCTTCGTTCTTAGTTTTCTTTTGCAGCGTTGATTAACCATTTTGCATCAATATTTATACTAAAAGCTGAAGGATGAATTCAGCTCTGCAGAACTACAATTGAGTAGCAAAATACAAGGTGATTTTTCTTGGTTTTTGTTCTCTCGTTTTTTATTGTGATATGATTCGCAAGTAGTTAGTGGATTTTGTTGTAAGTTTCTGATCGGAAGGGATTATATAGTGGACACTGGACTGAATATTATTTATGCTGTTTTTTTGGGGGTTTTGCATTGATTATTGCCAATGGAAATTCTGATGTGGTTTAGAAATTTTTTGTATGATGTTTGAATGCTATGATGTGAACTTGTGGTCTTTGAAAGTTTGCTGATACCTTGAGAGTATACCAATATAAACCGCGTTCATATAAAGTAATCAACCTGTTGTTCTTTATTTAATCACTTCATGTTTATATTTTTGGTACAAAGTTTACATTTTCGACAAAAACTCATGATACAAATTAAGTCAAAATCAAGTTGTTGTTGATCCGTTGGTTGACAGTTATGTTCTTTTTTCTTTTTTTCACTTTGACTTTTTCCACTGAACATTATCATTTGTCTTTTATGTCTTCCACAGGGTACACTCAGTCTAATGGATGGAAGTCAAGGACTTAGTAGCCAATCAGATGATAGCTTTCAATACAAAAGAGAACACATAGAGCCTACTTATAATGCATTCATATGCCGTTTTACAAAACAAATCATGAGAGATCCTGTTACCTTGGAAAATGGGCAAACTTTTGAGCGCGAGTCTATTGAAAATTGGTTCAATAGATGCAAAGAGAACAACAAAAAGCTGGTTTGCCCCTTAACATATAAAGAACTAAAAACAACTGATATGATTCCAAATATTGCTTTGAGGAACACAATTGAAGTAATGGAAAGCCAGAAATGAAGCTGTTCAGCTTGACATGACACGCAAGTTGTTAAATATTGGTTGTCCCGAGACTGATATTTTGCAGGCTTTGGAGTTTCTTCAACACCTTTGCCAAAAAAATATTTCAAATAAGCATATAATCAATAATGCTGATTTAATACCAATGATTGTAGGCATGTTGAAGATTAGTAACTGCAGAGTGAGGTGTAGAGCTTTAGAGACTCTGCGTATTGTGGTGGAGGACGATGAAGATAATAAGGTTGCTAAATGTTTAATATCAAAATCGGTCATGGAAATTGCATGCTTTATTCACTTCTTACAAAACTTTTTATAAGATTCTTTTTTTTTTGTGTTGCAGGAAATAGTGGTGGGAGGGGATAATGTGAACACAATAGTGAAGTTATTGTCTGATGAACAACCGAAAGTAAGAGAGGAAGCTATCTCCTTGCTCTTTGAGCTCTCGAAATCCGAGGCTATGTGTGAAAAAATCGGGTCTGTTAATGGAGCAATCCTGATATTAATTGGAATGACTAGTAGTAAATCTGAAAATGTGTCGACTGTTGAGAAGGCGGATAAAATTCTTGGAAATTTGGAGAACAATGAGAATAATGCGAGGCAAATGGCTGAAAATGGTAGATTGCAACCTCTTTTGACACTTCTCATTGAAGGTACTTTGCATAAACTTCTAGACTTTAATTAGTTTATAAATATATTAGTGCATATGATGTTGAGGTGGGTACACTGTGACTATGCGTTGTATTTCAATCTTGAGATATGTGCTCAACTTCAAGATCAATTTCAACCCAACCCTAGACACTCACCCAAACATATACGGGGGCTTAAAAGTTGAAGATACACCCGTTTTCTCATGTCATATCTGATAAAATTTCTTCAGTTTTTTGATCAAGTGAGGTCATATGAACACTCCTTGTTCTAGGTTTCCAAGTCTTTATGATACCACTTGAGAACACTTACATGGAAGGTTGGGTGTATCTTCAACTTGGGCAGAGTTGAAGTTAATATATACCTTCCTAACACATTTGATCACTGGGAAAGGGTACTAACTACCAACCCCTTATGTACCTTCTGCAATGATTTGATTTGTTGAGGTAGAAGTTTACCATCACTCAATCCTCTATGTGATAATATAAATTTCCACATACGTTTTAAAAATCCAAACATTCAAAATATCATATTAATATTAACAATTAAATATTTGAAGTTTAAATAGAAGTAGTTTCATATATAACTCATAACACAAAAACATGATCAACATAATTAAAAGAACATAACAAATCTAAAAATTAGTCTACCCTTGTGCTTTTTTCCTTTCCATTCAAGTTTATGTTTTATAGATTAATGTCCCACTTTTTGTGCGGTCCTGATTTGTAACTAAAAAAACACAATTAAGGAAGAATGTTTGAATGAATATAAATCAATTTGTCCGCCCTCTTACAATTAAAATGGTTGACCTTCACATTGTGAATGTATGAGTAAGTGCTCCAATTTCTCTTTGTTGAAGAGTTGCTAATAGGTTGTGAAAGTACCTTTTTAGCAACCCCTGCTAGTTTTGGGGTTTCCAAACCATAACTCGACCACCGGTCCATTGGTTTCACTGTCACTGCATCTATTTGCGTTGCTCCCATCAAATAAAGTCCTTTTTTATATGAAAAGTCGTAGATTTTTCTCGTAAAAAACTCTCTTCTTTATTTTCAGTAATTCGTTCAAATACTTGTATTACACCTACTACATCTTCTTTATCATGATTTGGAGCTTTTCTAGGAATTCCACATGGGACTAACTTCTGAAGATAACGTTTATCGTAAAATCGTGGAGTCAATGCAAACCTAAAAAATTGTAAGAAATTGGTCGTCTCTTTCCATCTCGCTAGCACAACTCTCAACTTTATAGTAATTAGAAAAATATTGATTATCGTTCATGACATCTTTAATCTATTCTGACATGTCCGTTTCTCATGTTATTTCTCCCATTTTGGACCCTCATCGTTACACCATTTGATCATTAAAAAATTGGTTTTGTTGTAGCAATGCTTACATACCTAAGCTTTTGAAGCAAATCCGGTCTTTACTACTTTATATTGCAATGTTTACACACCCAAACATTTGCACCACCACCCATGCCAATAATGTCGATTACATTAAAAAGTGGCTTCGAATCATTCACTAGCCGTGGAGTTTGAGTATGAGGATGAAGGGACAGTAAAGAGGCTCTAGCTACTACAATTGCTCTTAATTGATGAAGGGGCAAGGTTAAACAAAGAGACGAGAACACTAGAAAAATCAAACAAAGTGTTGGTGAAACTACAAGGAGTGATGATTTTTCGGTGATGATATGGGTCCTAAAATGGGAGAAATATAAAAAACGGACATGTAAGTGTTGGTTTAATCCAGAGGGCATATTGGGAAATTTATGTTTATTTAGTTGTTTGACTCTTTCAAAAGGCCATGTTGGCCATATTTCCTTTTCTTTAGGCGTAATCAAGAAGTGGGTTAGTTGCCCCAGTAGTTTAGGAAGCATTTTCCTTATATAGTTGTAGTCAATTTCCCTTTTACGAATGAGCATGAAAAAATCAGAAAAGTTGCCCCAATCTGCTCTTGTTTCAGTTCTGCAGTAAAGTGTGTAGAGTTTTGTCCCACCTGCACACACCTTTCTTGTTCTCTGTGATTACCCTTTGAATAAAGCCCATACCCTTTCTGTGCAAAAGACAATATTTTGGTATCAGAGCAGAGCTTTAACCTGGTGTATGCCCAAATACCAACCTCGTGCACTCAACATGGGAGACAAAAATGAAAGGAATGAGAAGGACGGACCCATCACGTTGCACTACCCTATGCTCTCAAGAAGCAATTATGCTGTGTGGGCAATAAAGATGCGTGTTTTCATGCAAGCTCAAGGCGTCTGGGACGCTGTTGAACCCCGCACCCCCAATACGGTTGTCGAAGTGAAGAAGGATAAAATGGCCTTGGCGGCCATTTATCAAGGCATACCGAAAGATTTGTTACTGTCGTTGGCAGAGAAGCAAACGGCTAAGGAGGCATGGACAGCACTCAAGACTATGTTCATGGGAGCATATAGGGTTAAGACTGCGAGAGTCCAAACCCTCAAGGCGGAGTTCGAACTGTTAAGCATGAAAGAAACGGAGACGATTGACGAGTTTGCTGTGAAAGTGAACAATGTAGTAAGTAACATAAGAGCTTTGGGTGATACTGTAGAAGAAGATTATGTGGTAAAGAAATTACTTCGTGCAGTACTGTCCAAGTTTGTTCAAATAGCCTCTACTATTGAACAATTCGCTGATTTAGACAACATGTCTGTTGAAGAAGTAATTGGAAGATTGAAAGCTCATGAAGAACGGGTAAAGGGGCACAACGGGCACACAGAAAACACAGAAGGAAAACTTCTCTTGACCCATCAAGAGTGGTCTGATAGAACAAAGAAGAAGAGAGATGAAGATCAGAAGTCATCCCAGCGAGACAACCGACACAATAGCAGTTCTCGTGGCCGAGGGAGAGGTCGTGGGAGGAGTGGTACCTGGTTTGGCCGTGGTGGGCGGCGCGGTGGTGGCGCTCATCACAATAGAGAAGGAGGGTGCGGATCATCAAACAATAGTGACAAAGAGAAGATACAGTGTTATAACTGTCAAGACTTTGGGCACTACGCTTTCCAATGCAAAAATCCACGTCGTGAAAGGAATCAAGAGGCCAACTTAACATAAGTACCAGATGATGATGAACCAGCTTTGTTGTTGTCTACATACAACTCTGAAAAGGTGTTCCATGAGGTGTTTCTTAATGAGGAAAAAGTCACGCCAAAGCTAAGATTAAAAGGGGATGAAACAAGCAAATCTAAGGTGTGGTACTTAGACAATGGAGCTACAATCATATGACAAGAGAAGAAGAAAAGTTTCGTGAAATTGATATGACCATAAAAGGATATGTCAGGTTCGGGGATGGCTCCAAAGTTCGAATAGAAGGCAAAGGAGCAATACTATTTCTGTGTAAAAATGGTGAACAAAGACTGCTTCGGGAGGTGTATTATATCCCAAGCTTATGCAGCAACATAATAAGCCTGGGACAGTTAGCTGAAGGGGGTGACAAGATACTCATGCATGGAGCATATTTGTGGATTCATGATAGAACCGGGAGGCTACTGATGAAAGTCACAAGATCAGCAAACCGTTTGTACAAGATAGCCTTGAATGAGATTGAAGGGAAATGCTTACTCGGTAGTGAAGAAAACGAAAGAAGTTGGTTATGGCATAACCGCCTAGGGCACGTAAACTTCACTTCACTTAGACATATGTCAGAGACTAACATGGTTCGTGGGCTGCCATGTATTCGAGCCCCCTTAAGTCCATGCGAAGGATGCTTAGTCGGGAAACAAACACGAACCTCACAGCCAACAGAAGCCAACTTCAGAGCAACAAGAAGACTCGAGTTAGTGCACGGGGACTTGTGTGGCCCAATCACACCAGTCACACCATCAGGAAAGAGGTATTTCTTACTTCTAGTAGATGACTTCACTCGTGTTATGTGGATTCATCTCATGAACACGAAAGATGAGACTTTGGGTGTGTTCAAAAGATTCCGGGAACTTGTAGAAAATGAAACAGGTGACAAGATCAAGACTTTTAGATCAGACAGGGGTGGAGAGTTTGTATCCAAAGATTTCAGTAACTATTGTGAAGAAACAGGTCTGAATCGACACTACACGGCACCCTACACCCCCCAACAAAACGGGGTCGTGGAGAGGAGGAATAGAACAGTAGTAGAGATGGTTAGAACAATTCTGAAGTTCAAAAGGGTGCCAGAGACATTATGGGGAGAAGCAGCAAGACATGCAGTGTATGTGCTTAACCGTGTGTCAACAAAGGCGTTAGAAAACACAACCCCATACGAGTGTTGGACCGGAAGAAAACCAAATGTTGAACACCTGCGGGTGTTTGGCTGCATCGCTCATGCAAAAGTCATGAAAGGCCATCTCAAGAAACTTGAGGATAGGAGCAAGAAATATGTGTATCTTGGAACAGAAATCGGAAGCAAAGCATACAGATTGCTTGATCCCAACACTGGAAAGATTTGTGTGAGTAAAAATGTGTGCTTTGAGGAAGACAAAGGGTGGATATGGGAGAACTCTGAACGATTTAAAGAACATTTAGGTTGTCCATTGGTTGTGGAAGGATACAACGAGGAGGCTGGTGAACAGGTACAATATGATGCACCTTCAGAAACTTGGGGCTTTAGTGAAGGTGATACTCCAATGGACTTCTTCAATATAAGTCAACAGGCCCACTCCGAAAATGAACAGAACCCAACAGAACAGGCCCACAACTCTCCGATAAACATTCTTTCGTCTTCACCATCTAACCCTAGTACACCCACAAGTTCAACAGGATCAAATACCACCACCTCAGAATCAACAGGTGGTGGTGCACCAAAGAGATACCGCCGGCTGTCGGATATCTATAGACAAGAAGATGAACTCCTGCTCACTTTGGATCACGAAGAACCAAGCTCTTTTGAAGCAGCAAAGAGTAATGTCGAGTGGGTAAAAGCCATGAAGAGCGAATTGAGTGCCATTGAGAAAAACAAGACATGGGAATTGGTGAAGCTGCCACAGGGCCGAAAACCCATTGGTCTCAAGTGGGTTTTTAAACTGAAGCGGGACCCAAAAGGAAACATCTTGAAGCATAAAGCTCGGTTAGCAGCGAAGGGGTATGTTCAGAAACAAGGGATCGATTTTGAAGAAGTCTTCGCTCCAGTGGCCCATCTCGAAACAGTAAGAGTACTTCTAGCTCTCGCAGGCAAGAATGGATGGCGAGTCCATCATTTAGATGTGAAGTCAGCATTCTTACACGGGAAGATGGAGGAGGAAGTGTATGTATCACAACCGGAGGGTTTTGTGAAGAAAAACTCGACATGTATGGTGTACAAACTGTCCAAGGCACTGTATGGCCTTCGACAACCCCCTCGGGCTTGGAATGCATGCCTTGATAAGTACCTGAAGCAGATTGGTTTCAGAAGATGTGTTCATGAGTATGCAGTGTACATAAGAAAGTCAAAAGAAAATGTGTTGATAGTCGGGGTCTACGTTGATGACCTCATTGTCACCGGAGGAAATGAGGATGAAGTAATCACATTCAAGAAACAAATGAACCAGGAATTTGAAATGAGCGACTTGGGGCTGTTGTCATACTACTTGGGTATTGAGGTGACTCAAGAAGAGAACGGAATCAACTTAAAACAAATAGGGTATGCTAAGAGTTTGTTGAAAAAAATAGGCATGGAAGAATGCAATGGGGCAGAGGTACCCATGGAGCACAAGCTGGAATTGACAAAGGATGAAGATGGTGAACCCGTAAATGCTACTGAATATAGAAGTATTGTTGGTGGTCTAAGATACTTATGCCACACTAGACCTGACATAGCATATTCAGTGGGAATTGTAAGTCGTTTCCTTCAAAGGCCCACTAAACTTCACCATCAAGTTGTGAAGAGAATTTTAAGATATGTACAGGGAACTCTCAATCTTGGACTGTTTTACCCTCAAAGCTCTAGAAAGAATGAAGTGATTGCATTCTCAGATAGCAATCACGCCCGAGACCTGGTTGACAGAAGAAGTACAAGTGGAATGGTGTTCTACTTGAATGAAAGTCTAGTGACATGGAGTTCCCAGAAACAGAGGTGTGTTGCACTGTCATCGTGTGAAGCCGAGTTTATGGCAGCAACTATGGCAACATGTCAAGGAGTCTGGCTTCGTCGTTTAATCCAGGAGGTAACAGGGGAAAAGCTAGGCCCAGTAACAATCCACATTGACAATAAGTCAGCTATTGAACTAGTAAAACATCCGGTCTTCCATGGGAGAAGCAAGCACATAGACACCCGGTTTCACTTTATCAGAGAATGCATTGAAAGGGGGGATGTTGTTGTGAGACATGTTGTAAGTCATGAACAAAAGGCTGATATCCTCACCAAACCGTTGGCAAGAATCATGTTCAAGGACATGACAGAAAAGCTTGGAATGAAGACTCTGGATTAAGGGGGAATATGTTGGTTTAATCCAGAGGGCATATTGGGAAATTTATGTTTATTTAGTTGTTTGACTCTTTCAAAAGGCCATGTTGGCCATATTTCCTTTTCTTTAGGCGTAATCAAGAAGTGGGTTAGTTGCCCCAGTAGTTTAGGAAGCATTTTCCTTATATAGTTGTAGTCAATTTCCCTTTTACGAATGAGCATGAAAAAATTAGAAAAGTTGCCCCAATCTGCTCTTGTTTCAGTTCTGCAGTAAAGTGTGTAGAGTTTTGTCCCACCTGCACACACCTTTCTTGTTCTCTGTGATTACCCTTTGAATAAAGCCCATACCCTTTCTGTGCAAAAGACAATAGTAAGGAGAGATTAAAGATGTGATGAAGGATAATCAATATTTTTTCTGATTACTCTAAAGTCGAGAGTATTGTGTTAGCGATATGTGAAAAGACGACCATTCCTTTACATTGATTGGGGTTTGCGTTGACTCTACTATTTTATGATAAAAATGATCTTAAAAGTTAGCCATGGGTGGAATCCCAAGAAAATTCCAAATCTCGATAAAGAAGTTGTAGTAGGTGTATTGCAAGCATTTGAAAGAATTGCTGAATATGAAATGAAAGAGCGTGTTTTGCGAGAATAATTTGTGACTTTCCATATGAAATAAGAACTTTTTATTTGATGGCAACAATGCAAATGGATGCGGTGATGATGAAACCAATCGAGTCCTGGTAAGGTTCTCGTTCGGAAACCCTGAAACTGGCAGAGGTTGCTAAAAAGGTATTCTCAAAACCTATTAACAGCTCTTCAACAAAGAGAAATTAGAGTACTTGGGCAAAAAGTTTGTAGTCTGAGGACCATATCTGAAGACCTTTGTAGTAGAGGTGGACTAAACGTTTGCAGTGTGCAAGAAGAAGACTGTTTCTTTTTTAACATCTGCAGATTGCTAAAATAAACTAAAATTTAAATAAATCAATTTTTTAATCTTAAAAGATTTTCAATATTGAATTTTAAATTGTTCCACTTTTATATCATTGAAAGGTTCCTTCAAATTCATTTAAGAGATTCAATATTGGAATCATACATACAATTCGTCTTTGGTCAATATTTTTTATAAAAAAAATCATCTTTTGAACTTAGCACTTTTACGACTTTATTATAAATATTTAACAAATCTAGATCAAATTCTATGTATTATTGTATAACCACTTTTTTATTTTATTTCTTTTATGTGACATTATATTATGATTAATATGTTTGTCTAAATTATTTTTTTGTTTTAATGACAATAAGATAGTTATGTCATTTTTTAAACAGTGTAATGGTATGAATTAACTGATATATTTGACATTTATTGTATTTTGTTGTAGTTAAAATGATGAAATATTACCAAAAAAAGGCATTCAAACAAACAATATTAATGTTTGAAGAGGTTACAAAAAAGAGGCAGTCGAAAAAGAAAAAAAGAGACATTAAAAAAAGGGTGTTTTTTTTTGTCTAGAACATGTCTAAAGAGGTTAGGAGACTCTAGTCCATATCTGTGTCCGAAAGATGATGCGCAACCCTTTGTAGGTCTGCAGTCTTCTAAAAAACAAAAAGACTCTGCACGGCGCAAACAAAAGAGACCAAGAAGACCCGCAAACAAAAAACAAACACCACCTTACTCATACATTTCAAATGTGAAGAGAAACAATTTGAATTGTAAGAAGGTAGACAAGTTTTTTTTTTTTCATTCAAACATCCGTCTTCAATCACATTTTTCTAGAAGATTACGAATCAGGACCACACAAAAAGTAACTTGGAAGGTTCGAGTACAATATTAGAAAAGAGGAAATGGGAAAATTTTGAAGATGTTGATAACGGGAAGGAATTGAAAGGGTCGAGGGTAGATTATTTTTGAGATTTGTTATGTTTTAAAGTTATTTTGACCATGTCTTTTTATCTTATCAGTTATGTATCAAATTACTTATATTGAAATTTTGATTGCTTGATTATTAATACGAGTATAACTTTATGGAATTTTGAATATTCGGATTTTTATAAAGTATGTAGAAATTTATATATTATTAAGGGGTACACGGTACCATGATAATTGGTGCATCATAGCGGAGGGATCCGAAATGAACCTACACCCTTGGTACTGAAATTTAAGGACATAGCGAACCTGATCCACGTTCTCGTACCAGAGCAACCCAGTTCCTGGTGACTATGCTTTGCACCAAGTGAATTAATTAGTTCCTCAATATCTGTAGGCAATGTATGATTGTCATTATCTTCTGTTGAACTGTTTATCACCTTTGCGCTTCATACAACTCCTGACTCTCATACACGATCTGGCGTCCTCTTTTTAGTAGGACTTCTATAGCAAAAACATGGGGCAGATTTGGAGACAATTTTGGGATTGTGTATTGATATTAAACTAGACTTTTGATGGTTGATAATATTAAAGGCTAACGGCTTGGATGCTTTCAGGTTCTCCAGAAATCAAAGTGTCCATGGCTTCATACCTTGCTGAACTGGCTTTGAGTACTGATGATGTAAAAATCTTGGTGGCTAGGACCGTGGGTTCATCATTGATCGACCTCTTGAAAAGTGATAATATGCAGTCTAGAGTAGCAGCGCTCATTGCTCTAAATCAAATCTCATCTTGTGAGTCAAGTGCGAAGATCTTGGTTGACCAAGGCATACTTTCGCCTCTTATCAAAGGTCTTTTTTCAGGCTCAAAGCAGCTCCCTATGCAATTCAAAGAAATCTCTGCTACAATACTTGCAAACATAGCGAGCTCCGACTGTGACTTTGACTCTATCCCAGTGGGTCCCAACCACCAGACCCTTGTGTCTGAAGACATACTTCACAACTATCTTCATTTGATCAACAACACTGGACCAGCAATGGAATGCAAGCTTCTACATGTTCTTGTTGGACTCACTAGCTCCCCCGTTACTAAAGCTGGCGTTGTGTCAGCAATTAAAAGCTCGGGTGCCATTAACGGTTTGGTTACGTTTATTGAAGCCCCACAGCAAGATCTCCGCATGACTTCAATAAAACTTCTCCAGAATCTTTCTCCAAACATGGGTCAAGAACTAGCTACTTCTTTACGCATGACGCCTGGTCTTCTTAGCAGTTTAATTAAAGTAGTTGTGAAAAACATAACATGTACGGAAGAACAAGCTGCAGCTGTTGGGCTTCTAGCAGATCTTTTGGAAAGAGATATCGGACTCACACGACAAATTCTAGAAGAAGGTGTGTTTGAAATGGTGATTTCAAGAATCAGAATGGTTCATCAAGAAGATCCTAGAGGAAGCCATTTTGTAACACCATATTTAGAAGGGCTCTTGCGTGTCCTCTCGACGTTAACATTTATGTTACCCGATGAACCGAACGTTGTTTCTTTATGTCGTGATCATGATCTTGTGGGGTTATTTGTTGACCTTCTTCAGGTCAACAGGCTTGACAATGTGCAAATGGTTTCAGCTTTTGGGCTTCTAGCAGATCTTTTGGAAAGAGATATCGGATTCACACGACAAATGCTAGAAGAAGGCGCGTTTGAAATGGTGATTTCAAGAATCAGAATGGTTCATCAAGGAGATCCTAGAGGAAGCCGTTTTGTAACACCGTATTTAGAAGAGCTCACACGTGTCCTTTCGAGGTTAACATTCATGTTACCCGATGAACCGAAAGCTGTTTCTTTATGTCGTGAGCATGATCTTGCAGGGTTATTTGTTGACCTTCTTCAGGTCAACGGGATAGACAATGTGCAAATGGTTTCAGCTTTTGCTTTGGAGAATTTATCTCGACAATCCAAAATCCTAAGCAAACTCCCCGAAATGCCAATCTTTCACTATTTCAGCAAACAAACAGTGGTGACTGGATTGTGTCAGGTTCACCGTGGAGTGTGTTCACAAAGGGATACTTTCTGTCTATTACAAGGTCCAGCTTTGCCAAAACTTGTGGCACTCTTAGATCACACAAATGAGAAGGTAACTGAAGCATCATTAGCTGCATTGTCAACTTTACTAGATGATGGGGTCAATATAGAAGGAGGGGTGGCTGTCTTATGTGAGGTGGAAGGAATCAAGCCGATTATGGATATTTTGCTTGAAAAAACAAACAGATAATTTATGGAGAAGAGCTGTTTGGGTGGTGGAAAGACTTTTACGGACAGAAGATATAGCGTATGATGTTTCGGGTGATCTTAATGTTAGCACAGCACTTGTACAGGCGTTCCAACATGGTGACTATCAAACACGCCAAACTGCAGAACGTGCCCTGAAACATGTTGACAAGATACCAAATTTCTCGAGCTTATTTGTTCATCTTCTTAACACACCAAATCTACAAGGCTATAGATAATCCATGGAGAAGACTTAATAGTTTACACCAAATGATTTTTAAATAATAGCTACCGATTGTAATGAGTTTTCATGCATTGAACAAATAGGTTAATTGCTTATTTATGCAACAACGTTTCACCTTTTTCTAATTTATGCATCAATGTTGTTTTTGATATAAAATTTGAAACGGACAAAATCCTGCGACGAGTTAATCTGAAACCTTCTTAACCAGTTACCAATTTGTTAATTTTTCTTTTAAATGCTTACTTGGATAATCCACGCGTATAAAAAGTCCATGTCACTTCTCCCTCCTAGTTCATGCGGTTTGTTGAGGTATACAGTTAAAAACTAAGGTGCTGTTTGTTTTTTCTGAGACAATATGTCTGCAGTCTGCGGACACATCTGTAGACCTCTGCAGTAGAAGAGGTGGACCAAACGTCTGCAGTCTGAAAAAAGAAAATTGTTTGTTTTTTAACATCTGCGGGCTACTAAAATAAACTGAAATCTAAATAAATTGATTTTTTTTAAACTTCAAAGTGATTGTTTAATATTTTTATGACTTTGTTATAAATAATTAACAAATCTAGATCAACTTTTATGTATTATTGTATAAAAAATAAAAATAAAAATTGTATGAATTAACATATATATTTGATAAAAACCAACAACTTTGGTTGCAAAGTTATAACTAAACATTATAATTAGGGATCAAAGAATTTGATACATAAATGGATGGAAATAAACTTCGATTTTTTCAATTAAATTCATTAAAAACGTACTATAAATATTTTCTCGAGAAATTGATGATACTGTATTAAATAATGTTTTACAAAATTTGGCAAAAAAATATAAGAATATATATTATGATTTTTTTTCATATTTATATAAACAACTTCAACGACTATTATTGTAATAAATATTTATTTATAAATTTGTCAAAAATATCATGTTTGTATCGTCGAACGTTTTTTTTAAGTTTTGTAATTTTTTTTTCAAATTGTTTATCATTAAAAAAGTTGGAAAAAATATAAATTAAAAAAAAAAACTTAAAAAAAATAAAGATATATGTGTTTTTTTAGGCTAGAAGATGTCTAAAGATGTTAGAAGACTCTGGTCCACATCTGCGCCAAGAAGAGGGCGCGCATACATTTTTAGGTCTGCAGTCTTCAAAAAAACAAACAGTCTGCGAAGGCTAATATCTGCGCGTGGTCTGCGCGGCGCAGACAGAAGAGGCCACGTAGATCTGCAGACAAAAAACAAACACCACCTAAGCCTCTTTGACTTCTTTCATACTTTGAAGATCGATTTGGGTCAACATTCTAGTGATCTCATGATTCAAATGATAGGGCAGCATTACAAATCAAACTTGTTAAAGGTAATTGTTTTCGTGTCCGATACTTTTTGCTGTGGTTTCGATCTTCATACCACCAATTTCTTAATTTTACGAATGGCATCATTCTCTTCTTGGTCAAAATGTATTTCAGCTGAGTTACACCTTAAGATGGTGTTTGAGAAGAAGGCTATGGGTTATGCATTCCTTAAGCTTAAGTTGTTGGTTAATCTTCAACAAAGAAACAATATTTATGTATACTAACACTAATACATATCATTATTCATTCAACTATTTTATTCGCACATGATTTAAAAAGACAAAAAAAAAAAGAACTTACTTGGTTCTTAACCTGATAACGCAAGATCAGAGCTATATTCTAGATACAAATACCCTCTAAGATCCAGGAACTCATCATATAACTTTACCAATTGGTACATACTGGAGCTACTAGGCTGATTTACTTAAGAATATGAGATATTACAAATTTCATTGTTGAAAGAAACAATCATATATAATGTAGTTTCAATTGGAAATTTAATTGTAATTTACCTGTACAACATGTCGACAATAGATTTAAAAAAAAAGGGTAGACCATAAATGTATCACCTTCTCAATTTAAATATTAAGCTAATAATAAAACTAACATTATTATATATTTGTTTAAATTAAGTATTCTCCTCGTTAAATCCGTTAAATCGAAAACAGCAACACCTAATAAGTACTAATTTGTGTACCATGGGGTAGGAATTTGATTTGGAACTATAGCTTGGGCTGAAAATCCATTGTATTGTACCATGTAATTCAAACTTCTTGTCGTTTTCAATTGAAGTCTAGCTGTTAAAAAAAAAAAACTAATTTGTGACTTGTCTGTCTAAATTTATTAAGCACTTATTTGTATGGAATATACAAATTATGAATCCTATCTTTATTATCTTAAATCATTGCAACACCATGCATATTGCTAAATCACCCAGTATTCCGTTTGTCAATTCCTGCATGTTATCGTGATTCGTGACTTTCAGTGTGTGGGCGTGTGATTAATAATCTTATCACAAGAAACCGTCCCCACACAAGGGTAGTAGTATAATTGCATGATTGACTATATATACCGTGTTGACTGAAGGGGTAGACAGATGATGTGAATTTTGCCACATCTTCAGTTTCGCCACATGTCTTCATTAACGACTACATGGACTAGATGATGTGAAGTTCGTTGATGGGAGTGACACATGCAGTGACTCAATCGTTGAATAGTAAATAACACTGACCAATTTGTCAATTAAAAGCAACATAAATTAATATATGGGTCCATCGATGATAACCATTGTGCTGACTTCTTCAATAGTCATTAAACCCTTGGAACTATATCATCTCAATCTCTAAACTCTAACGATCTTTTTGCATTACAGACTGATCCATATCTCCAAGAACCATGAACTTTTCTACAGCTCTTATATTTCTCCTTACTGTATTGGATATTCTTGTTTATTATTTACAGAAACAACACGAGGAAGACAATGATGAGCATAAGAAATCATCCCTGTCATCATCATCGGATCAACAACGATCCCTACACGAAGAAGAACATGATCAGAGGAAGGATTTATCTTCATCATGGCTACTGGATAAAAGATGTCGATGTTTTTCACTTGCTGAAATCAAATTGGCCACCAATGATTTTGATGATGCGTTTGTAATCGGAAAGGGCGGGTTCGGGAAGGTATACAAAGGTAAGATTGACTTCGGGGAAGAAGGAATTGATGTTGCTATTAAGAGGTTGAATCTTGACTCCAATCAAGGAGTAACCGAGTTCAAGGCAGAGATTGAAATGCTTTCCAAGTTTCGCCATAGTCACATCGTCTCTCTTTTAGGATACCATGAAGGATCCGATAAAAGAGAAATGATCATTGTTTATGAATACATGCCTAATGGAAGTCTTGAGGATCATTTGCACAAAAGAAAAGTTAACGGAAGTAATTCCTCTCTTCTGACATGGGTCCAAAGGCTCCAAATCTGCATAGGTGCTGCTCGTGGTTTGGACTACCTTCATTCGGGTACAGGTGTCAAATCCAGAGTTATACACCGTGACATCAAGAGCTCAAACATCTTGTTGGACGAGAATTTAGCAGCTAAAGTTTCCGACTTCGGGTTGTCCAGGATTGGTCCAGCAAATCTGGTGGGGACCACTAATGTTTATACTGATCAGATAAAAGGCACATTTGGGTACATGGATGCTGAGTATTTTTCAACTCGTAGACTGACACGAAAGTCTGATGTGTATGCATTTGGTGTGGTGTTATTGGAAGTGTTATGTGGTAGGCCTGCTCTAGACTTTACATTAGATGAGCAGCAACATAGTCTAGCTGTATGGGCTAAAAACTGCATCAAAGAAGGTAAGATTGATCAAATCATTGATCCATGTTTAAAGGGACAAACAACAGGTAATTGTGTGAAGGAATTTGGGAGGATTGCATATGAATGTGTTCTTACTCGTTCAAAGGATCGACCTACAATGAGTCAGGTGGTAGCTAGGCTTGAGTTTGTGTTAGCATGGACACTGCAAAGTGGGTCCAGTGCTCGTGATCGGAAACAAATTGGAAGAGCCATGTTTATTGAGAAGGCATGGTCATTGTTCTTGATTAAATCTCCAAGTAAGTTCAAAGTTCAAACTTTTTTATGTACTTTTAATTTATCTTTTTCTTAAATTCTCTTTGTGGATGTTGATTATTGTTTCAGAAAGTCGTATGAGTTCTCCTACAAAGAAACTAGGACAAAGCATTAACAAGAAGAAAGGTGTTGAAAATGCTTCTCAGAAGGTGTTACTACCTACTGCAAACACAAAGATACCAATCTTGAAAATGTTCAAATTTTCTGAGCTACAAAGTGCCACAAGAAATTTCAAGCAGGAGATGTTTCTTGGAGAGGGTGGTTATGGGAAGGTTTTCAAAGGGTGGTTGGACAGTGTAACATTTGCCCCAAGGAAGGCTGGTGGTGGGCTTGCTGTGGCCATTAAGAGATCCAGCCCCAACAGGACTCAAGGTCTTAATGAGTGGCAGGTTTGTTGAGCTTTTTTCATCTAACAGTATTTGTTTGTGTTTCTTTAAAATATACTCTGTGAAAACTCATTAGATGATGTTTTCTTACATACTTAGATAATTGAACAAACATATTTATTTGATGATTCATCAATACACTATCTCTAACGCCAGTAGGAACATATCCATGTAACATATTCTTTATGGACTGCAAAACGGTAGTGAAAATCAAAATGTTAATTTTGTGTGTTTTCATAACAGGCAGAAGTGAAATTCTTGGGAACATTTAGCCACCCAAACATTGTTAAACTCTTTGGATATTGCTGGGAAAACAAGGAGTTTCTTCTTGTTTATGAGTTTATGCAAAAAGGAAGTTTAGATATGCAACTCTTCAGAGGTAAGTGTTTAAAACTTCTATCTTTAAGTATATAAACAGTATATTAATTTCTGTTTTAAATTGGATTTTTCAGAAGGTGTAGAACCTCTTCCATGGGACACAAGGATTAAAATAGCCACAGGAGCAGCTCAAGGCCTTGCTTTCTTGCACACTACAGAAAATAATGTCATTTGCAGGGATGTGAAGTCCTCAAATATTTTACTAGATGGGGTAAGTAAAAAACCAATCAAATTTCATGTTTCAATGTTCAGTATCTTACTTTAAATCTTTATCATATCAATATTCCTACATCTAAATACATTTCAGGAGTTCAATGCAAAGCTCTCGGATTTTGGACTTGCAAAGTCAGGTCCTGTCAAAGGAGAGTCTCATGTCTCAACAGACATAGCAGGCACCTATGGCTACATGGCTCCTGAGTATATCGCCACTGGTGAGTTTATAAAAATGGTGTTGTTATATATCTCATTGTCAGAAAGATTTATAAGATAGTTTATAAAAATGGTGTTCTTTTGCAAATTGAAATTACAGGTCGTTTATATGTGAAGAGTGATGTTTATGGTTTTGGGGTGGTGATGTTGGAGATCATAACAGGGTTACGAGCATCTGATTATAATCAAGATGGCATGAAGCAAAACTTGGTGGAATGGGCTACACCTTTTTTAACTGATATAAAGAAATTGGAGAAAATTATGGATCCACGTTTGGGACAAAACTACCCTTCAGAAGGTGCAAGTAAAGCAGCTGAGCTCATACTAAGTTGCCTTGATTTGGATCCTAAAAACCGGCCTTCCATGGAGGAAGTTGTATTGGGTTTGCAAGTTATTGGTTCGGTCAAAATGGAACCAGGGCGGTCAACGGGTAGCACCAGGGGTTCGATGAGCCCATGTAGCGAACAAAGTTGCCTTTGGTCTCCCCTTCGTGGAAAGCAAGGGAGGGCAGTTTGGTCAATGAGCACTCGGTTGTTAGGTTTAAATGTGTGCCTTGGGCTCGGTTCAAAGGAAGACCCAACTTGGACGGAAACAAACTGTTCCAAAACCGGAAAATGGGGAAATTGAAGTGAGAATTAGTTGGTATGTCTAATACAATGAAGTACCAAGTTGTGATGAGTAGTTACTGATTTGTCTTTAAAGTTTTTTAACCAGTTGTGGTTATGAATACGTAATTTTTTATGTAGGGTTAATGTCACATGTTGGTCGAGTATTGTCATTTTGTTGTGTTAGTTCCTAATCACTTATTTGTATACTAGGTACTAGTTTATAACCCGTGGAAACCACGGTTATAAAATTAATTAAACTTTTATAATAAAAATTTATAATTATTAATCAATTATCTTAAATAGTCATTTTAAATAAATTATTAATTAAGAAATATACCAAATTCTTAAAGTTATTATAACTTCAAATTTAACATATAATTAGAAAATGTAAATTTGAATTTTGAAATGAGTTGCCTAATATATCTAAATGACACATGACATAATATTAATGAGGAGTTGTATTCAAGTGACACTTGACAAAAGAAGATTAAAACTATTCATTTATTAGATTAAAATATGGATATTAATTATATGGTCGACATGTAAGCAAAGGAGAAAATTGCAAATTTGGTGCCCTCTTTTGGGGTTTTGGTTTATGTGGGGCCAAAATTGCAAATTTGGTCCTTATCAACAAGTTTCATAATAGTTTTGGTCCTTCGAGATAACCCCATTATGTCCCATCCGTTAACTCAACTCACATGCCTCTCATATGAGGGTCTTTTTCATTTTACATCTCTCTCTCTCTCTCTCTCTCTCTCTCTCTCCTTAATCTATTACACCAATCTGTGAAGAACCCTAATTTCTCAATCTAATTTATCTCTCGATTTTTTCTCTCCTCTCATTCTAGTTCAATCTCTCCCTTCTCCCCGATTAAGAAACAATTTTGAGATGAAATCCTCATCTAATCGAAATTCTTTCAGAGAACTCTTTTATTTGTTTCTTTCATGATACTTACGATGATGATTATGCAAACAATGCTTATATTGAAATCGGTTGTTTTTACGAAACATCCAAAAGTTTAACCTTTGGCAAAAATCGAACTACATCCAAACATCTAAAAAAAGATTAAAACCTAAACCTTCAACCTTCAACCTTCAACCATCAAACCTACTATTAGAATTCTAGGGTATTTCGATTGCTTGGATTCAGTGAAAGCCGTGTTTGCACTGTCAAATTGAAGTATTTTGATGATACTCTAGAAATCTCTCAATTGGATAAAATTCAACGACCTTCCGGAACAAAGAATGTAAGAAGTTATGATATAGAGGTGGTACCAGATTAATGACCAAAACATGGGTTTAACACTCTTGTCTGAAAACTAATAGAAGAAATTGTCATAAGGCAGTTCCAAAAACTGTCACGAGACTGCCACAAAAACAGTTCCATGTCAGGCTAAACCATCAAAGTCAATGTTCAACGTTAGGGTCAAAACCAGCCAGGGGCTCTGCCCCTTGGACTCCGCTATCAGGGGAACTGCCCCTGACCCTGTTGGTTCAAGGGCTTCGCCCCTAAATAACATTATACTTTGAATCTTGAATAAACTAAAACAAGTTTGCACTCTGCACCATGTAATGCCCGTGTTTCTAGGCTAGACATTAATATTGAAATTATAGTCTAGGTTAACCTTTGCAACTCATTTTGAAGAAATGAAAAGGAATTATGTGAATATTATGTGAATTATGTGTTTTATGCTTAATTATTAGGGTTTAATTAATTAAGAATAAAAATGAGCGTCAAAAATAAATATTAGATAAAGCCGATATCTATTAAGAAACTTGTAGTGGGCGTGACAAGGATTACAAATATATAAAGAATACCGAAATCCGAGTTATAACGAAGAAGTTATGACCTGTCGAAGTTTCGCGGCAAAACCGGCACGGAGCCGAATGTCGTAAAAAGTGAGTTTTTGATAAACTACTTTTTAGCCTTAGTGATCTAAACGAAACACGTAGTGTTCGTTAAACCGAGAGTAGGTATAAAAAGAACGCCCAAATCTGACTTCGTATGAGGAAGTTATGATTTTTCGAAGTTTCAGCTTAGCAGCAGACAGCTAAAAACTCGAATTTTAGATCGAGTGATTTTTAGCCGACACGACCTAAACGAGAATCGAAGGTCTCGTCAATAGTAGCGCAACGGTAAAAAGACAGACGAAAACGGACGTCGGATGAAGAAGTTATGAATTTTAAACGGATTTCCTGTCCCGGTCTGTTAAAAATAATAATTTAAAAATTAAAGTCAAAATTAGCCGACGAAATCTAAACGAAAGTTGTAGAGCGTAATTTTACCTACGCGTGCATATAAAGAACGTCAAAAACAGAGCTCGTATGCGAAAGTTATGGATTTTAGAAGTTTTGGCGCGAAAATCGAGAAAAATCCCCAAAACCGAGAAATCTCGCATACGTGGACTTCGGCCACGTGTCCTCGCCTCGCATCCAACACGTGTCCGGAATATTGCTGATTCATCCGAGCTGCTGAGTCATCCGAAGCGGTCCAGTGAGAATCCGACGCGTGTCCTCTTCCTCGTGTCCGAGCCTTCGCATGATGCCACGAACCCACCCTACCTCGGACTAGACCTCGGTCCAATCAGGAGGCGACACCGAGGCCCTCGCATGCGCAGACCATGTGCGAGCCACCTGCGCACCCTCGCCTAGCTGCTGCCGCGTGTCTCGCCTGCTGACTCCCCATTCCTTCACCGACTTCGGACTCCTATAAATAGAGGGCTTGCGAGCCTTCTCGGTTACTTTTGAAATTTTGCCATCTTTCACCCCTTTCTTAATATTTTCTTCATTATAACATCCCCCAAAGCCCCGGTATCGATTATAACCCCCGGAATACGCCACGAAGAGCCTGAGAAGCCCGGAAAATTTATCTTTTCGGTTTCGAAGCCCGACCCTCGCAGAGCCCGGGTTTCTGAATAAAATTCCCTTATGTGCTAAATGTTATATGTTGCCATATATGCCATTATTTGTTCGAATCTATGGTCTGTTGCCGACCGGATCTGGAAACCTTATGTTGTAGGATTCTAAGCGTATGATTACGAGATTAGAACTAACATGTAAACGTTTCGGAGTGATAAGGGAATTTAAATACCTATCGAGGATAAAGACCTAAATTCGCCTTATTCGGTATATAGATTGTAATGGCAAGAACTCGTAGTGGAGTTGCAAATGCAAACGGAAACAGGGATCAACAGCCTCAACCTCAAGTAGTTGAGCAAGTACCTGTTGTAGGAGCTGCACCTGAGCCAATGACGATGGCTGGGGTACAAGCAATGATGCAGATGATGTTAGATCGCCAGATGGAGGAGACAAGGCGATTACTACAACAGCATAGGGAAGAAACTACGATACCTGTTGAACAGCCCGTATTGAATGAAGGGCAATCGGTAGGAGGGAACTACAGTGGGACTCTTGGTCAAGCCAACCCACCGATAGTTAGACAAAACAACCAGGATGGAGGAGTTGATGGACGCGGATGCAAATACAAAGATTTCATGGCATCTAAACCGCCGTGTCTATCTGGAAGTCCGACACCGGTGGAAGTCATGAATTGGATCTCCGAAATGGAGACGATGTTTGAAAGTTGTGAGTGCAACAACAAATAGAAGACCGCACTTGCAATTCCTCTGTTAAAGTCTGGTGTATTGAGCTGGTGGAAGTTACTAGCTGATTCGATGCTCAAGGGAGAAGCTAGTAAGATGTCTTGGAAAGATTTTGTGGTACAACTGAAATTGCAGTACGGCTCTGAGCAGGATCTTCTGGAAATTAATAATGAGTTCCAGAATTTAAAGAAGGGAAAGATGAGCGTTACTGAATACGCTGCTAGTTTTACGGAAAAGATGAAGCTCGTTCCTCATCTAGTTCCAACTGAACTCTCTAAGGTCAACAAGTTTGCCCTCGGATTACCAGCGGACTTTGGTCCGATGGTTAAGCAAACAACCACTTTGAAAGCCGCCATCTGGGCTGCTAAGAATGTTGAGATTCAGATCAGAGAGAAGGGTCTGGAGAGGGCAGAAGTTGGCGAAAAGAGAAAATTTGAAGGAACTTCAGGTTCAAATAAAAAGAACAAGTTCTCGAAGACTGGTTCGAGAAAATTCGGAGGAGGAACTGAAGTGAAATGGTGTGAGAAGTGCAAGAAAAAGCACTCTGGGAAATGTAGTGAGGGGGTGACTTGCTACAAATGTGGAAAGACTAGGCATTTTGCCAACGTGTGTCCGTTCGACAAGAGGGTATGTTTTGAGTGCCATGAAGAAGGGCATGTTTTTAAAGACTGTCCAAAGAGGAAGGATGCAGTAAAGCCCAATCTACCACCAAAGCCGAAGGCGATAGCCTTTCAGATGACACTTGAGGCTGCAAAAGAAGAAGTCGATGTCGCTTCAGGTACCTTTCTCGTAAACGAATTGCCTGCCCAAATTTTGTTTGATTATGGAGCCAATTACTCCTTTATTTCGCATGAATTTGGTAGAAAACTAGCTTTGCCTATAGATAGACTAGTTAATGCTATAAATAGTCGAGATTGCTAGTGGCAAGTTTGTACCTGTTAGCCATCGTATGAAAAACATCCTCATTGACTTGGATGGGAATAAGTTCCACGAGGAACTATTGCCTATCAAGTTAAATGGTTTCGACATAGTTTTAGGAATGGATTGGCTTAGCGCCAATGATGCTGAGATATTGTGTAGGAAGAAGATAGTAAAAGTAAACCCGCCAGGGAAAGAGTCGTTTATGGTGTATGGAGACAAACGCAGAGTAAACTCTGGAATCATTTCCCTAATGAAAGCCAGAAAGTGTTTGGCCAAGGGATGTACATCATATCTAGCGTTCGTGATCGATGCTCAGAAAGAAAAGAAGGAGGTGCAGAATATTCCGGTGGTGTGTGATTATCTGAAAGTCTTTCCCGAAGATCTTCCCGGATTGCCCCCTGATCGACAAGTAGAATTTCGTATCGACTTGTTACCAGGAACGACGCCGATAGCAAAAGCACCGTATCGATTAGCACCAACAGAGATGAAACAACTTA